ACCCAGAGAGATCCCTTCCAACCCTGAACATTCTGTGATTCTGTGAAGTAGAATCCTTTTTGCAGTGTAGTCTTCCATCTATTTCCCGCCTCAGCCTTGAAAGAAATCAGGTCACCTCATCTCCACAGAACATAACAAACAGGACCTAACCGGGACCAGACATCCTTTCCTCAAGCTGTCATCAGCAAGTGCCTTGCGTGTCCGGCTGCGAGTCCTCTCATACGGGTGCAGAGCTCCTCGGCTGCAACTTGGTTTTGGTTGGACTTGATGATCTTAGAGGTCTTTTCCAACCTTAATGATTCTGTGATTGGTTTTGTTTCTGTCCTGACGATAGTGTGAATGGCTACACCGGAATGGAAAACAAGGCACCCTGCTGCCTCATACGAACAGTTCCCACACCTTCCTTCCACTGGAGTTCCCTCTTCTGCCGCGTGCTCCTTCTGGCCCTTTCGGCAAAGCGCGATGATCTGAAACACGGGACGCTGTCAGCCCTCAGTCCGCTCCTTGCCAATGGGCCGCTGGTCTGTGTTTCCAGGTTTCTTTCCAGATGCCTGGAAATACTGGCTTCAAAATGATCGCGTCGCTTAGGAGGGAAGTTCCTGACAGTCTGAAACAGGGGAAGCTTCTGGCATCTTCTCACAGAAGCCACCCCTGTGCCCTCCCCCGCTGCCCAAACCTTGCCCCGCAAACCCAATACATGGTTCCAGGTGGTGAGACTGGGGAGGACTCAGTGGAAAACGAAGGAGGCGATGCATGCTGAAGAGGCTCCACCACATAATAAACTACCAGCAAATGAGAAGCAGTATGCCCTGTCCACGGATGGGGCCTGTCGCGTTGCGGGGAAGCAGCGGAGGTGGAAGGCTGCTGCATGGAGCCCTACATGCCGAGTTGCTGAAGCCGCTGAAGGAGAAGGTGAATCGAGCCAGTTTACAGAGGTGAAAGCCATCCAGCTGGCTTTAGACATTGCTGATTGAGAAAGGTGGCCAGTGCTCTATCTTTACACCGACTCCTGGATAGTGGCAAATGCCCTGTGGGGGTGGCTACAACAATGGAAGAAGAGCAACTGGCAGCGCAGAGGCAAACCCATCTGGGCTGCCCCACTGTGGCAAGATATTGCTGCCTGGCTAGCTCAGGCAGTAGAACACGAGACTCTTCATCTCAGGGTCATGGGTTCCACGTTAGGGGTCTTCCACTCCTCGCATCTGTGAATCACGTATTTAAGAATTATCATTGAAATCCACATTCATCACAACATCTTCACAAACTTCAGACACATTAACCAAAAAAAAAAGAATTCCCCACACCAAAATCAAAATAACATCATCACAACACCAAGCAGAAGTGGACAATTTACACACAATCCATCCCTTGTCCCTTCACCACAATTACAACAAAATAATTCTTCACAATTATTCCACTCTCTTCACATTGTCATCACTCCCCCTCCTCAGCTGGACAGGGGAGAAGAGATATGATGAAAGGCTCCAGTGTCGAGACAAGGACAGGGAGAGATCACTCACCAATTACCGTCAGGGACAAAACAGACTGAACTTGGGGAGAAAAGGGAGCTTAATTCATCACCAATCAAATCAGAGTAGGAGAGTGAGAAATAAAACCAGATCTTCAAACATCTTCCCCCCACCCCTCCCTTCTTCCCAGGCTCAACTTCACTCCCGTTTCTCTCCCTCCTCCCCCCGAGCGGTGCAGGGGGACGGGGAATGGGGGTTACGGTCAGTTCATCACACGTTGTCTCTGCCGCTCTTTCCTCCTCAGGGGGAGGACTCCTCACACTCTGCCCCTGCTCCAGCGTGGGGTCCTTCACACAGGAGACAGTTCTCCATGAACTTCTCCAATGTGAGTCCTTCCCACAGGCTGCAGCTCTCATGAACTGCCCCAGCGTGGGTCCCTTCCCACAGGGTGCAGTCCTTCAGGAACAGGCTGCTCCAGCGTGGGTCCCCCACAGGGTCACAAGTGCTGCCAGCAAACTTGCGCCAGCATGGGCTCCTCTCTCCACGGGTCCGCAGGTCCTGGCCGGAGCCTGCTCCAGCGTGGGCTCCCCATGGGGGTCCTGCCCCCTCCTTCTTCACTGACCTTGGTGTCTGCAGAGTTGTTTTCTCTTACATCATCTCACTCCTCTCTCTCAGCTGCTGTCTCACCACAGTTTTTTTCTTCCCCTTCTTAACTATGTTATCACAGAGGCGCTACCACCATCGCTGATGGGCTTGACCTTGGCCAGTGGTGGGTCCATCTTAGAGCCAGCTGGCACTAGCTTTATCAGACATGGGGGAAGCTTCTCGCAGCTCTCACAGAAGCCACCCCTGTAGCCCCGCCCCCCCGCTACCAAAACCTTGCCACGCAAACCCACAACAATGACTGCACCCGCAGTGACAGCACGAACCGAACAGTGCTCTTCCTGCTTGGGAACCTCTCCCGAATTTACTCGTCATCAACCACGTTTAAAGATATACCCACGAACGACATATTAAACGAAATACAAAAAAGCGAGTTAGCAAGAAACAGAATAGCAAACCCTCAAAAGGTTATAACCACCATCGAACTTCTAGGTCTCAAACCTGATAAATGATGCTGCCTCTCAGGGCAGGATCTTAAAATCAGCTTGCAGGAAGGCTGGAAACACAACTTGTGCTTCTTCCAGCTGTTCAGAGTTAATGCGTCGAATGCCATTTGCCCTTCTAGCTTGATGAGACAGAACCTGCCCCTTCTCCTGTTTTTATTCTTAACTTTTAATGCATTCTGCACAGATGAATGTGTTCAATATAAGGCATGTAAACAGGCTAATCCCCGTTTTTATACATACATGGCACATAGCTTACATTACCACTCTATTTTTAAATAAACAAGCACTCCTGACTTCTAATCTTAGAATCAACAAGGAGTCTTCAGACTTCTACAACATATCATAGCTGAGGTGAGTTGTCTATACATGTCAGCGACAGTGCCATCTCTGCTTTTAATATTCCCGAGACACCATCCATGCTCAATAATGACAAGTGTGGTTAAACTGCAATTTCCCATTTCTGAGAATGTCAGGCGTTTGCTGCAGCACAGCATGGAACACGGAACTCTCTGATTTGCATCCTCTCACTTTCTTCGCTGCCTGCAAATTCCAGCAACACTTTAACTGACTTCTAAAGCAATTTGCGTGTATTTAAAAATGAAGCATCTTACACCAGAGGAAAATGGTTCAGTGACATTTTGCCTGCCAGTAGATCTCTTCTTTGGCTCAGCAAGGTAATGAGACATCACCTCTTCATACCAGCTTCCTGCTGTCCGCTCTAGCCTGCTGGCATAGGTTCTCAGACCTCAGGACAGAAGATTGTGCCACTGCACTGATCCTTCTGTTTTCCCGAAGCAAAACTACATCATCCAGAGCTTGTGAATTAAGTTTTAGAAAAGAAAACAGTGAAAATTTCCTTTTCATTCCTAATAATGGAAAAGGTAACTATAAATTCATGAAATAGCTACAGGAAAACAATAATTATTAATGGCAAGAACTCCATGTGAAAGCTTCTGAGTAATTATGAAGAGAGAAACAATCCAAAAGGAATTGAAAGAAATAAGGTTTGTGGGAGGAGGGGAAAAAAAAAGTGGCTGAAATGCAAAAAATGCAAATGAACAGAAAATATAAAAGGAAATAAAACTAGGAGACCTGAAGATGACCCCAAAATGGCACTGGGCAGAAAGTTAAGGGAGTCACGATGTGGCCAAAAATCAGACCAATGAAATTTGCAAAAAGCATCACTTCGTAGAGCAGAAAGTTGTTATTTCCCCTTTTCAGGGGTCTGGTTACTACTTCAGAATACAGTTTCAGTTTTGGATTGCTGTTCCTGGGAGTTTTCTTGCACTGGATTTGGCTCAGTTGATCAGAACAAATGCCATCAACTTCATAAAATAATGATAGTTATTAAGACATGCCTTAAATACCCAAACATATGCATGTGTCACAAATGAAGGATTGAACGGGGAAAGGTTTTCAAGGATTTTCAAGGACATATATTTGTCTTTGGTAGTTTCAAACATCTCCTATCTGATTTTTTTTTTTGAGCTTGTGCCAGCATTAAAAGAAGTGCAGAAATCATAAAAACTTCACACACTTTGAATACACAAAGCAATGCAAATATTTACACACCATTCTGAAAGTTTAAGCTACACAGAGAACTGAACTTGCAGTTTAATCTTCAAACATTGTATTTTAATACACTATACAGTATCTTACAACCAAATACAACCTTTAGTTAAAATATTTGTAGTTTAAATGGATTTAACAGAAAAACTTGATGCTTGTTAGTTATGAAGTGATAGACAAACTTAACTTCATATGGTGTGCAATACATTTCTCATTTTGTACATCTTTTTAATCATATTCTTGCAGAATCTTATAAGATACAGAATTTACGACCCCGCTCCAACTCGGTGCATTTTTTGATATTGATTAGTTAAAATTAATGAATCCTTTGAATGAATTCCATAGAAATGGTGTTTCCACCAGAAGACAGAGAAGTCTGGAATTACTTGCAGCGTTTGTTAAAACCCATTGCACTGAGCAACCAGCAAAGACGTGCAAAGGCAGCTAGATTTAAAAAGGAACATAAACGCCAGTATTTACATCTGTTAACAAAAATAACTCAGTTTTTAGAATGTACAATTTACTAGAAAATCACTTTTTGAAAAGTACAAGCAAATTAAAACAGGTTTAGAATAACGTCTTTTCTATTCTTTCTACTAGAGATTTTTTAATGTATCTGATTTACGAAGTTTATAATATTGCTTTATAAAATTGCAATATTAAGTTTGTAAGACCTTGCTATTGCAGCTGGGTGTTTTATAACAGAGGTAACATTGATTTCTTCACACTCATTCCATTTTATTAATTCAGTACCTATCAGGTTATTTTTTAAGTTCCCATAAAGTAGAATATGAAAAAGATGAGTTAACTGACTGTGACATTGCTTTAAAATAGTGTTACTGTTTTTTTTACAAAAAAGCAAGAAGAATTAGTTTTTATTTTACATGTTGTCTGAGCTTATCATTAATATTTCTTCATGCAGCAACTGTGCAGATTAAAAATATTCTTGAGCAATCTTGCGTAACTTATAAATTGTTTCTCCACCTGAAGTTGGGAGATGCCTCACGTACTGTTAAGAACAGAACACCAAATTAGTCACAAACTAACACTTAGATGCTATACATAAACATTAGACTGTCTCAAACTTAACCTATACATGCATACGTATGCCTGTACATGTAATTTTTTTATTAAAACTACTGGAATTATTTCATTTAGGAAGTGCTGACTTTTAATGGAAGGTGATAAACATTAACTGTTTCACAATGTTAGCTAGCAATATAAAGAACGATTAACAAAAAAAGGGTTTAATAATCCTACACTTCTTTGAAGTTCAGAATATCAAAATTTCTATATATTAAGAAATTTGAGGAGGCAGAGCACTTGTTGCGTTTTCTGAAATTTATGAACTCTAGAGAAAACAATCTGTGCTGCTAAATTAAGAACAGTCAAATTATTTTTATCTCTTCATCAGCTGTCTTATAAAAATGCAAAACAATGACCAAGCTATTTAGATCCAAACATGGGAGAAAGCTCACATGCGCATGTTGTGCCATGCTTCTGTATACAAGACATTATTTTTCTGTTTAAAGTGAGAAAAGCAAATCTGTAAAGGCAAAATCACTTCTAACTGAAGTTACAAAAGTTACGTACCAACATAAACTGCAATCCCTGGAATGAAGTGGTGAATTAATGACTGCAGCAGACAGCATATGGCTGTAATTTGCATGGAGTAGCTCTCTTGTAACATTGTCATACGCCTGTCACATTCATTACAGATACTGACAACACGTTTCTTTGGAAAAATATTTTGTGAAAATTAAGCAGACAGTGTTATGACTGCAACTCAAGTCTTCCATAATGAGAACAAAACTTGAAATACTGCAACTCAGACTACGTGGAAAGGACATCATATCAAAGCCAAATGAAAGGGTAACACGAGTAGGCAAGCATTTGTATGCTACATGCTCAGAACCAACTTAATCAATTTTCCATAACAGATGTCCTCAGCTTGAACTGAAAAACTGACAAAGGTCACATGATGTTAAGTGTTTATCATAGATCTGGATCTAAGCTTGCATTTAAAAATTTAGTAGCCATTTCCACACTGCAGAGATCAGCATAGCATAACCCCAACTATTCTGATGAGACTACTTTCCTCCTGCTCTGTGAGCACAAACTGAAGATCAAACAACAAAACAAACCAGAAAACTTTAAAGGGCACTCCTTGTGCTTCGTGGAAAGTAGGAGCACACAGCTGACTCAAGGACCTCCAACCGAAGCAGAAGAGTCGCAACAATTCTGATTAGTATCTCCTGTGGTTATTTAAGCTTTCTAATAATTTCAAGCACTTGCTACTTTGTGAACAGACATCTGACTGAAGCTCCGTATCTGCTGTCTCTTCAAAATTCAAAGGTAATTTCTGAGGAAAGCTGAGCTATTTTTGTCCAGTAAGCATGAAAAGTGTGTTTTGGGAAAAAAAAAAAAATCAAACAAAAAAACCTGGCTTAAGAGATGAAAGTCACTAGCTTACTCAGACAAATTAATTCCTGGACATTCAAGATGCATACACACAGTCTTCTGCAGGGAAGACTGCAAGTCTGTCTTTAAAGAGAAAGTTAATTTATCCACTACTTCATCTCAACAGAAAATGCTGTTGCTTGAGCTACTTCAGCAGTGAAAGGAAGGGATAAACAGTCAGCAGCATATGATACCCCAGAAGTATCTTGTGGAGCCAAACTGCAGAAATGTGTAGGTCAATAATGCATGTTAATAACCCAGAACTGAAATCACATGTAAAAGCTGGTGCACTAAGTATCATGTTGGTAAGCTCCCATGGCATTCTGCACAAAATATGCTTAAAGACATAATTTTCTGCACTTCAGTAACGACTGTATCCACGTGACTCTGGTCTATTTTCTTCAAATTACAAAAATGAAGTCTCGATTGTTCAAACAATTAGTACCTAGTAGCTGATTTATCGTTAAAATAAACAGAAAGTCTAACTTGGAAAAAATACGATAATTTCCTGTTGTTATTCAGGTTGGTAAATGCTGACAATTTGAAACAGTTTTAAATATTCAGGTAATTATTTACTTCTAAGTAGACAGTCCTGGGTGGAGTTATGTAATGTACAGAAAGAAATATTTTCCTTAGCTTCTGGCTGAATAACATTTCCAAATGCGCATGCCATTATAGAAATAGAATACCCCACCTTGTTCACTAAAAGTAAAGGCAAAATGTAAAGACGGTAAACTAAATATAGTTGCTCTACTGAAGTACTGTACTAATCAGTAATTGTGAAAATTTACGCTGCGGGACTGCAACCGTCTCTAGAACACATACCTACAACAATACACATTTAGGAAAGGCAGAAACGTAAAATGTAATCCCATAAAATGCTATGGACATGCATATTTAGGTCTGAATTTCAGAAAACACACAAAGGTATAAACACTAGCATTACGAATATATGCCATGGTATGTTTTAAATCAAAATTTAAAGATATACGCATTGCAGTAATCTGTGCCCTAAGCATGTTGATAATACTTTATAAAATATTTCCTAAAAGTTTGGAAATACTGTATAACCATAGGCTTTTTGTATATAATCCTACTTCAGATTGCCTGAAGGACAGCCTGAAGGACAACTAATTGCATTTTTTTTTTCCCCTAGGAGACAATGCACTGAAACATAACGAGAAACAAACAGTACATGGAAAATCAAAATGAAAATGATCCTCCTTCCACCCCCCCATCCACAACTTACACACTCTTCCATCTTTTTCCAACTTCTTCAAGTGGACTAGTAGGTTATTTTCTGCTGCTGCAAGTAAATTTTCCGGGATCTCCTAATGGTACCACAAAAACGAATTTTGTATTTGTTTAAATATCTCCCAATTGTTTTTTTAATATACAGAACTAATGGTTTATTAACACAGATTTTCCTCTTCTGAATTGCTGTTTAACATTCAGTTAGCTATATAACGACAACAAATTGAAACGAGTAAATCAATTTTACACCAGTTAAACTAGTAGCGTAATAACACATTTTTGTTTACTGTGCTCATTTTCTGCGCTATACATTTGTATTATGCAAACTTTGGCCAACATTAAGAAGACTGTGCTCTTCTGACCTTGGTCGGCACTGGCTTGTCAGTGCAGCTGAGCATTCTTAAAGACAAATTTAAAGATGTATTTCTCCACAGATACCTATCGGTTCTGTTCCGTGACAATATTTGCATGGGTTTAAATACCATTTAACAATTAGTATCTGTAAATGAGTAAACAATTTAAAAATACAACAGCTTCAGGATGACAAAACGTCTCTTAAAATTTTCCCATGCTCATTAGGTAAAAAAGAGTAACATTTCTCAAAATCCTCCTCTTCAGACCTATCACCCTAAAAGTAAAGCCTTCTTTTTGAAAATTAAAAATTTTTCTCCAAACAATACAAGACTGGCACGAAAATTCATGACAAAACTATTCATTAGTTCACAATTCAATAAACTGTGAATCTTTAAAAAGCTCTGAGTATTACACTGGGTTTTTTAAGATGAAAGCTTTAGCAGTACTGAAAAAATTCTTATCATATAGTGACAGGACAAGTGGTTTGTGATTTACAGAAACATGTGAAAGGCTGTACACTTAAAACCTGTAGCTGCTCAGGCAGGAAAACTGCAGGCGCTGAACAGCCACAGGTAATGGTACATCAGCATCACAAAATGTTCAATGTGAAGCAGTCATTCTTTCGGAAACTGAGGATCAACAGAACCATGAAAAATGAGTAGTGAAGCTGTTACAGACCTGTTCACAAACCACAGCCACTGGCAACTTTGCCCTCTTCCTCCGAAGCAAATGGTGTATCTCTGCTTGCTAGGAGGGGTGACTGCCATACTACATGTACAAATTACTGAGGTTACATAACGAATGACGGAGGAGTGAAAAAGTACTCTCATGCCTGTCTAATGACGCCCGCAAGCTATGCAACTTCTGAGCGCAATATCCAGCTCTGTGGAACTGCAGCTAACCTGCACCCTCCTGCAGACTGATAAATCAGGAACCAGAAGTTTTAACCAATCTTTCACAAGACTTCAAACACACTTTGACAAATCAACAAGTAACAGTCATCTCACCCTTTTCACTTAGAACCAAGCACTACGACTTTATTTTTGCTTGGTCCCATGCAACTGTGCTCAGGACCATCTAGATAATGACATAAGAACTCCGTAAGAATCATCTGGGCCCCATTCCAATGAAGTGCTTAAACAATACAATTTAAAAGCACAGTCATATATGAATTCTGAACAAGCAGAAATCTTTTTTTTTCATCTTTTAAACAGCCACCATGGTCTTCACTCAAATACTTAAACTGCTAACATGCAATTTTATGAACATAACCTCAATTTTCTTTAGTTTGATCTAAAAACTTTCAATCAACAATTACCTTATATACTATCTTTACAAGCTCTGCGGATGTATATGATTTTCCAGCATTCTTCTGGAAAACATCTAGAATTTGCTGTTCACGTGCAGTTCGGTGAGAAATGTAGCCTTGGATTCTTGCATTTGCATCACGCACTACTGGGCCATGACCTAAATCAAAACACACATACCAGAGCACTATTACTTCAGTTTGTAGTTGAGTATGCTACTGAAGAATTGAATCATTCTTACGTAAACTCCGGTAGACTTAAAAGTTGTAAGAAGGGAGCAGCACCTCTATGTACCACCCTGTCAGAGTATCCTTGATGTTAAATTGTAAGACACTCTTTGCATGTTTTTTTTGGTTTGGGGTGGGGATTTTTTTTTTTGCATCTACATAAGCCAAATTAAAAATGTCTGCATTAAAGTCTGCAACTGAAAAGCACCGAGATGGAAAGGAAGAATCAGGATCTGAAAAGTCTGAATAGGGAATGGAAATACTTCAGATGTAGTAAGGAAAGCAAGGGAAGACTACTTGAGGCTATTAAAAGAAACAAGGAAAGGAGTTCACTGCTGAAGAGATTTTAGAGATGAGATTCAGATTATTATACTACCCCTGTCTGCCTGTCTCACTCTCCCCAAAGGATACTGATGATTTAAACTGATACCGGTCTTTGAACAGCAGTGGCTGAGGCAAAGGACTCATGTACCACTGTCCCATTGTGGGGCTATCCAGCAAACAGCGGCGAGAGAAGCAACATCTTTAATTCTGACAGATAAATTTTCCAGGACAGATCTTTAAAACTGACTCACACACTGTACTTTATTCCCTTAAGAACATACTTTCGTAAGTATGTTAAAAAAAATTAACAGAAGACAAATCAGTGAGGCAATCGGAATGCATCAGGCCAGGAACAAGCAATACACAAGAAAGGCTCTATGTGGATCATTTCATGCCTGGCTGGTTAATACACAAAACACACATGGTTTTTCCTGGACTTATTGTGGCACATCAGAAATGTTCAACTTACCGAAAGGTCTTTGAATCAAATTAGAAAAAGGCTTAATTAGTAAAGCACTAACTTTTGTGGAAAATCAAATACTGCCTCATGATACACTAAAATGACAGATGAAATGAAAATATTTTTCAGACATGAGAATTACATGCCGAGAAATTAAACTTAATGTTTTACCTACAGAGAAATTTACTTGCATGAATACTCATCACATGCTTTTTATAGCAAGGTTTCCTATTTCTTTGCCTGTATACCTCACCTGAAGCAGCAGCAGCAACTTCCAGCTCTGCCAGTCTAAACTCCAAATAATTTATAAAATCAGTAGAATAGAAACTACTGTAAAAAAACATAGCTTTCTTTTAGAAGTTATTGGGTATCATCCAAATCAGACAGTTTCTTTCAAGGTTCTCTGACTATTTAAAAAAAATCATCATACTCTCTACTTGTACTTCTGGGTTAACCGACTAAGTGGGTTTTTAGTTTTAAGGCTCTTTAAATTAAAGCTTATTTTGCCTGAGGACAGGGAGCTTATAGAAAAAGAGCAACTAATTTTTCATGTTTTCAATACCTGTGAAATAAAAAAGTGTCAAAGGAATCTATCCTTCAGAAAGACAAAATATTTATGGATATCTCAACTTATACAGTCACTCCAGCAGATCTGAAATTACTAAATATACACTGAAGCTTACCTTGTGTAAAGATAATATTATAAATAAAAGATCTGTAACATCCAAATATAAAACTACACTGTCATATGCACATATATTTAGTGATTTGAAATATATTTAATCTGAAGCTATTGTTCCTTACAAAATAAGTTACAAATATAACAGTATCTCTAGTAAGTATGTTACCATTTATAAAAATAAAAGTTTAAATTTAGAAAAAACACACCAAGATGTACAGAGCAGAGACTATACTGGTAACTGCCCATTCTCTTGCATTCCCTGATGACAGAAGACACATTAAAGTATTCAGAATTAAGGCCTGCACATGGAATCACAAGGCAGTCTTAAAACCAGTCCCTGCTCTTCCAAGTGATTTAATTGACTTAGACTACAAGACCAATGTCAGTACCTGGAATGGAACCCACATTTTGCAAAGTTAAAGGCATTCCATATCCGTTACACCACTGGATCCACAGCCTTTGTGTACGCATATAAAGACATTAAAATGATGTCAGAAATCTTAGAACTAAATCCAGATGTGGATCATTCCCATCCATAATTTTTCGGGGACAGCAACACTGTTAACTTCAGCAACAAGTAAATTAATACCTGCATAAATGTAAAATGTTTCTGAGCATGTGAAATAGATCTCTCAAAATACGACCATCTTTCCAGTAATTCAGACTTTATATCAGCCAGCTTCATATTATTTGATCTCTGTATAGCCCAGATGATCAGAAACGGTAAGTTTTAACTCTCGTAACACCCTGTGAAGTAATATAGATGCTCTTACTTTACAGTAAATTAAAGCACAAAGGATAAAATTGAAGCAAATAATGGGCTTATGAAATCTTGCACAGATTCCTAACTCCAGTACCATTTTTTCCTGTATTCTCACGGAGCACCGTTTATTATTACGGGATGGGGAGCCCTCTGCTGACTATAATGCCCTCTTCTGGTCCCAAGGATTCTCATGGAATACTGGCTGTGAATACACTGTCACGAGCATTCTGCCTGAAGTAATTTCCACATTAAATTAAAAAAGAAACACGGAAGGGGAAGGACTGGCAAATCCAGCTACTCACACCTAACCAGCAGTTAGTTTGTTACAAAAATCCATGCTCCTCTAAATCTAATTCTGAGGCTGCAATGTGAGTGCTAAAGTGTGGATGGGGAACAGAGTATCAGTTCAAGAATTATGAAGACCTAAAACTGCAATAAAGTCAAAGTACTGAGCTTATCTAGAATGTGCTGGTAAATCAAACTATCTTCTGCTACAGCTACCATTTTATTGTAGTACATACCGATAGTACAAACCATTGCTCTGACTGGGCAACAGTCATCTTTTACACAATCGCGCATGCATTTTGTGATGCATGGATAAAAAACAAGAAAGTTAGTTCCAAATCATCTCAATACTTAGCTGCTGATCACTGAAAATGCTTAATATCCGACTGGCTTCCTAATTGCAAGTACAGCATAAGCATACCACAGCGTAGCAAACAGTTACAGATAAATGGGACAAATATACAACCTTGGTGAATGTGTAATCTAGATAAGTAATGATTAAGGAGAGAGTGAAATCCAACAGATAGAACTGATAAACCCAATAGAATTTGGCATATATGGGGTTTTGGAAGGCAGAAATTAAATTAGAAGAACAGACTGTGTTTTGTAGGTATTTAAGAAAGAAAGTAGAACATTCAGTTGATCAATAAATTGAGATTCTGCAGGCCAAAATATCCTTAGTTTTACCAGTATTTAGGTCAGTAACTATCAGCAAGTCACTATTTCTGTCTATGTCCACCTCCACATCCATGGAATCATCTATAATTATATTTTTCTTAAATAGCATTTTTATGCTTAGATCTTAAAAGCACTTAAAGAACATCTACTTCAAAAGAAGCATATTTTAAGAATGAACACAAAAGAGACTTGGCTATGTAGGCTAAACATAGATGGTTAATGGAGGAAGACAGAACTGAGAATGTAGACACAGTCGCTCAGAATGACAAGTGGAAGAAGATGAAACAGAAAAAGCTGAGACTTCACTCTGAAAAAAGCAAATGAGGATCTTAAACCTTAGTTACATAATGAATTCTTAAAATCCAGTCTTGTCAAACAAACACTTGGTTTATATGAAAAGTAAATGCATTACCAAGGTTTGGGGGAGATAGAGGAAAAAAAAATTAAAGCTAAGTCATAGACTGAATGAATCGGCAACTTATTTTTAGAACATAATGTTTGGCCTCTTGGCTTTTGTTCAATTTAAGCTAAGTCATTAACTAAAACAACCACTTGACGGTTCTGCAGCTTTCCAAGAGGAATTTGTGATTAATCTGTGCTGCAAAGGACAGGCATCTCTCTCAAGAAACACTACTGGGCTACTCACATCGGCAGTGCATGTGGGGATGCAAAGGACCAAAAGAACAACTATTATTTTTTCTTCCAGGGTAACATTAAGGTGCCCAGATAGAGTAAAATAAGAAAACCAGATTTGCTGCATGATGTCAACAGTGAAAGATTCTGACCTCTGTAGGCCTTTGCACACAGAAGCACAAGATTCACCCTCCGATGGAGAAATCTCAGGAAAGACAGATACCTATCACCGAAAAATTTACAAATCTTGCAAAGCACCACACCATAAAATTGTCATAGCCTAGCACTGGCAATATATTAAGTAATGAACTTGAATTGTTACATTAGTAATGGTGTTTGATTGTAACAGAATCATAGAATGGTTTGGGTTGGAAGGGACCTGAAAGATCATCTAGTTCCAACCCCCCTGCCATGGGCAAGGGACACCTTCCACTAGACCAGGTTGCTCAAAGTCCCATCCAACCTGGTCTTGAATGCTCCCAGTGAGAGGGCATCCACAACTTCTCTGGGCAACCTGTTCTAGTGTCGTGTCACAACGCTCATGGGTAAAGAATTTCATCCTAATAGCTAATCTATATCTACCCTCTTTCAGCTTGAAGCCATTCCCCTTTGTCCTATTACTACAGGCCCCTGTAAAAAGTCCCTCTCCAGCTTTCTTGTAGGCCCCCTTCAGGTACTGGAAGGCTGTGATAAGGTCTCCCCGGAACCTTCTCTTCTCCAGGCTATGAACAGCCCCAATTCTCTCAGCCTTTCCTCATAGGAGAGGTGTTCTGATCATTTTTGAACAGCCATTCATTTCCCTGAACAGCCTATGAAACTCCTAAACATGGGAAGCTTAAATTCTGAGAAGAGGTATTTAAAAATTATATAGTAAAACAGAGCAGTTAAAAACAGAACCACTTACCTGGATATATTAAATCTAGTTTCATTTGTAACAACCTTTTCAAAGTTTTCATGTAATCATATAGGTCTTCAATTACTGTTGTGCCTTCCCCTAAAATACAGTCACCGGAAAATACAGCATTTTCTTCTTCTAAATGTAAAGCCATATGATCATCAGTGTGTCCAGGTGTATATAAAACTCTGTTTAAAGAACAGCAACAAAAAAAAGAGTTTTTCATACAGCATATATGCTTCATTTTCAGAAGACAGAAACAAATAATGATAAAATCATACTTACAAAGTAGCCCACAAGACTCAGAAAAAAATACACCAAAAAAAGGCTGCAATGTTGATGTAAACAGCGTATAATTTTGTCTAATCCCAGTTCCTTTTCCCATACCATGTAGAGAACACAGATCATCCTCTCTAACATGCTTTTTCTTACATGACACATGATAATAAAAGTGCATTGAGGGAGCTGGCTAGTCGTGTAGAATTTGTTATGGAAGCTTTACAGAAAGCTGTGTTACAGAAAAGCTTTTGTTTATAGAAAGATTTGTTATTGAAGCTTTAAAGCTCTGAAGCTTTAAAAAAGAACAGTTGACATACTATTTCTGGATTGAAATATGTGAAGTTCTTGACATACGCCTGGCACTTAGCAGAAGAGGGCAAGGATGATGTTGCCAATTCTTTTAGAAATTAACTATAAACTTCGGGAGCCAACCCAGACAAAGGTGTGTCTTACGAAACTTCTTTTTCCCTGAAAGCCTCATGACACAGTGGAGCGGAGCTGTCAAATACAACAAGGAATCACAGTCTTCAAGCTGTTCTATGTGCAGGTCCTTAAACACCTGAATGGTAAGGATTTAGGATGCCACAGCCTGAGTACCGCATTAGAACGCAGCGAAGGGTGACCGGGCAGTTGGTGTGTATTCAGTAACCTAAGCTGCTACAGAGCTGCACTGCAGTGTCCTTTCACTGCAATTTTCGAAAAGCAGAAGGCCACATGCTGAGTCTGATTCAAAGTGAAAGTACACAACTCAGAGCAGCATCACTGCTGAAATTCATCAGAATCTTGGCACAGCAAACAAGCCAAGGCTGAACAGCACCCAGCCGTGTCAGTTGCAGGGCTGGGAGGTCAGAAGCACAGCACCACCTGATGCCACCACTCCCAGCTCTTATGGAACACCAAGTTCAGCAGAAACCAGGTGAGCCAGCGTCCTGCAGAGGCAACATGAAAGTCAGGCTGATGGGTTGCATCTCGCCTTTGTAGGAAGCGATATCCTCCAGTTCCTGATGAAACTTTAGCAGGAAGCTTAACCACTAGCATGGAAAAAACAAAAGAAAAAGAATCCAAGACTGCCTGGCACACCTTGAAAACCTGAAGGCTGCTAACTAAAACTGAACATGCAGATACTGCTATTTTGGAACCAGCGGTGGATCTAAGAGTATCCTTAAAGTGCTTACAGAACTAACTAGGTGAGAATACGTGCTTTCAACCAAGCATAAAGTTTGGCTGCATTATTCCAACCTTCAAAATGTGCCACCCATCTTACTTGGATTCATATTTAACAAGCTGTTTTCCATCTCTAAATTTTTGTCCACACATGGGCCACTTAGGGTAGTGAAAGGTCTTCAATATTCAATATAATACTTTCCATGTTTGTTTTTTTGTTTTTACACTAACAAAATAAAATGCTTTTGGTCAAACATATCCTTTATTTCTTCACTTTTTTCCAATCAGCCAGTTGGTATATGCTACAAGTGGGATATAATTCACATCTAAACTGAGGAAAATAAGCAAAATTTGTCCTCAGAAGGGTAATGCCTTGTTAATGAAAGAACTCTGGAAACAGAATGGTCAGATCTTTCTTTTGTGTGTGTGTTTGTGTGAGGCACGGTGGCTTTCTGTTTCGGGCTCATGCATGCTCACAACACAGGCAATATGCCCTCTGGGAAGAAACCTTACCAAACTGGCACCCTACAAGGACCTGACTGGTTAAAGGTTTAAAAATTATCACTTTAATGTTACGTATTAAATGTTTTAGTGTCTTCTTGGGAAATATTTTTAAAGTAAAAAGAAAGGCATGCTAAATAATCCATCCAGACTACCATAAACTTCCCCAAAAGTATGAATTTTAATAATAACTACTAGCGATGAGAAAGTATGTAAAATCCTATTTGATTTTCCTGAGGAAACATTTTTCAAGGGTGATGTTCTTAATTTCTCTGCTGAGGCCAAAAACCAAAGGCTAATTCCTGATAATCCTCATTCATAAAAATAATTTCTTCATATAAACATCCCCTGCTGATGAGAGGAAGTCCACATGTGTAAGTGTTGCAAAGATTAGATGTACGGATTCCTAGTCATTAGAAGCTGGGATACATATGTCAGAATTCTGAAGGAAAAAGTGATCCAGCAAACTTGCAGAAATTGGTGTTTACCTGAGTGTGGCTCCTTCTGTCTCTACCACATCTCCCTCTTTAAGATAAAAATATTTATGTCCTCCTTCTATTATTTCTTCACGGTGAGGGACACGGGGAAGCTTACAGATGCGATATTCAGAGTCTATTTAAAGAAAGCAAAGTAAACAACATTTTGAACTTGTTACTAACAAAGCTAATTCCACAGAAAGGCTACTTTTTGAAGAAGTACTATTAATTTTTACACGGTATGAACAGAAAACTAGAAACAAGAAATTCTGTGCATTAACTTTATGTTTGTCAAGCAACCTTCCAGAGCCACAAACACTGAATAGTGAAAGCCACTGAAGACAAAAAAAGCACAAGTTACAGAAATGTCAATAACTATTATATTTTACAAATGTTCCTTCTTGACTCATCAAGAGCCCAAAACCCCAAGTTTCTACAACAACCCTAAGATTTCTGCGCTCACGTTCCGCACTATGATTCACAGAAGCACCATTCAATATTTGCCAAACACTGAATGAAGGCTTTTTGACCTGCAACTTCCCTCAGCGTCTATCGTTCTGAACTGTGCGTGATCTGAATGCCTTAGCTGGAATAGCTATGGATAGCAACCCAGAAAGGTGTTTATATACCTTGCTAGTCTTTACAGCCATGCTCATGGGTTGACAAGACCAAAATTCTCGCAAAGACACTGATGTTGTTTTCAGTGGTGCCCAGGCTTCTTTGCAGGTAAGTACCTGGCAACTTTACAAAATCCGATAAAGCCTGTGACAAAGCTTCTGACGAAGTCCAACAATGCTAAGAAGAACCACATGCTTATTGTATTCCCAATTACTAAAGCAGAAATGTCTCTTACTGCTTATCAACATGAAATGCATATTTTTAGACCAGAATTTATCAGCAGACTGCCCTACTCTCTTTGCCCTAATGATCATGACCTTTGAATTTGTCAGCAATTACTAAAGGTCTGCTGTAAGGAATCTCAAAGTTATGCATGTTTCTTTTTCAGAGATTAAGTTATTTATTATTTTTACACAAGCGAAAATAATGGTCAAGTTGTCATTACTGTCAATATAGAAAGGAACCAGTATCAAGTTTTTCACACACCTGTTGAATACCATGTAAACTGCTGACAGTAATCTAGGTTCTCACTATTCACATGTAAGAAAAATTCACTATGAAGGTATGCACAGATATTAAATAAAAACTGTAGTACTACAATATTCAGATCATCCATTGTTCTCATTCTACACACAGCAACAGCATTCTGAAATTACACGTAGTTTATATGGATATTCCAGAAGAATAATTCAGCTGATTTGCACAGAAGCACTCAGTAAATTTTTTTTCTTGCCGCGTACCTAACATTTTTAACAATACCCCAAATCTCTGGCCTACCATTAGGGATGTTTTTGCAGACATCAGGTACTCCACCAGTATGATCGCGATGCCAGTGCGTCACTAAAATTTCTTGGATTGAGATGTTGAACTCTGACAGTGCCTGCTTTAAACAGCCAATATATTCAGGTATCGCCGGCTCCCCGGTGTCAATCAGGACTCTTCTACACACAGACACAGAAAAATAAAAAAAAGAGAGGGGGAAAAAAACCCCTGTGAGACGATTCTAAGTGCTAACGTGACAGTTAATGTTAAAAAAGAACACAACTTTGCACGGCACCTCCCAAAGAGGTCGCAGGAGCTCCCGCCCAGCACCGCCGGGCAGCGGCGAAGCCTGAGGCGAGGCCCCCAGCCGCTTCCCTCACGGAATTTCCC